TTTATAGGCTGATACGCTGGCAACGTTGCGTACACCAGACGGTCGCAATTTATTGGCCACATTCAACAGCCATTTCGAGGTGGGTGTGTACGATTTGGCTTCGGGAAAACGGTTGTTCGATGCGAAACTGGGCACCACCGATCGTTTGCAACACGCACCCGTTCAATTGTTTACATTTGCGTTGGTGGGACGAGAATATGAATTTGTGACTGTGGGACAGGATTGTCGACTGGATTTCTTCGTTGTTCAACCACAGCCACAATCTGGAGGATCTGCCGCAACAAGTTCGGGTTGGGATTGATTATTTAGTCATTCATTCATTCATCAATTATCAAGCTTTTATTTTTATGAGCTGCTGAATAATAATACGATAGATTATCGGCGGTGAATACGAAACAATACAATATTAGTGATATATTACAGGCCAATGCTGGCAATTAATACACAATTGAATATACATTGAATATAATAATATTCGATTAACCATTGAGCTGAGTTGTTTGAGTGTTTTGTGGCATTCGAAAATGGGTGTGTTATGTGGGATTTAGATTTGGTGACATCAAGTTGTTTGTTGGTTCCGTTGCATCCGATTAGCATAATTTAGAAGGTGTTATAGGTCAGGGAATGTTCATTGTTTTGAATCGTGCTGTTTGGATCATTCATTTGACGATCTCATAGTCAGAGAGAGGTATCGAGACTGTGTCAAGTCTCCAGGTTCCAAGTGTTAATTTGAAATCAAATTCAGCATCATCAGCAGTGAGCAGTGCAGAGTTGCTGCTGGAATGGAGTCGACATGAAGCTCTGAGTACGATCGCAACAATGCGAATGGTCGATTTACCGCTGTCCGAAGCGCAAGTTGGCATAGAATCGGAGTTCAATGATGAAGGTTAGTTAGAGGGGATTTCTCTGATTGTGTCTCATTTATGTTCATTCTTGTGAATTATTTGTTTGGATTCATCTGATAGACAATCGATGCATTTGAGATCAAGATTGGTAGTCCTTTTTTGTTTAAATTAGTTTTATCTTCATTTGGAACAAAAAGTTGTTTTAAATAATTGATTTTAGATTCAGTGTGAATTAGAATCGGCGGATTAAAGTGCAAAACGTTTTCTTGAATACTCTGAATTTATCGTTTCTGGATTCCGTCTTCTTCATGGATGTGAACTTTCAGCTGGAATATTGGAGTCGTTCGTGAGGCGGATTCGAAGTCAAGTGAATCAATTTCGTCGCGTCTTCATAAGTGCCACCAAGCAAATCTTCACAGCATCATCGTTTCTGAACANAATCGACGATCCACATCCGATTATGATGAAGTGCAGAAACAACATCGCTCTGAGTTGACGTTGGAGAGGGATTATTTCAATTTGCGAAAGATCATTTTGGTGGCAACGCTGAAGTCAACTTTGTTTGGTTAGTCTGCAATTGAGATTTGTGTTGTGCTCTGAAATTTTATCCTAAATTCAATTAGATGGATGTTGATTTGCTGTTTGAAGAGTTGGTGTTGTTGATGAATTCACGAATAATGATTTCAAAACATTCTGAAGATTTTTGGTTGTGCTGCTTTTGAGGTGCACAGCAGTTTTCTTAGTTTATGAGTTTGTTTGAAAACAATTCTACACGTTTAAGTGAGACATTTTGCTATTGAGTCTGGATTGAAAAATTCTTTCATTTAATAGATAATAGACAAATTATAATTGAGACATCATGACTTGTTTTGGCGAGCAGTTATTTTATGGTCACTTAGGTTTACACATTGCGATTTTGTTTTCTCTTCATGGTGTTTATCATCGACGGTTTTCAGTTATGTTTAGTGTCATTTTGAAATTCGTTTCATTTGTTTTTAGGATTGGATAGCAGTGATGGTTCAATATTGTGGAGGCTTTATTTGGGTCGTGATACGATACCTCTGAAAGAGAGTCTTGGGTCTGAGACGGTTCCGTTGTTTGTGCAACGCACAACGGCACACTATCAACACGCTGCGTTGGCATCGATTGTTTTAGCAAATAAAGTTGGTGGAGTTTGTTGGTTGAATTTTTTTGGATTTTTGAGATCTGAAGTTGTTTTTTCGGATTTGTGTGAGATCTTTTGATTGATGGAATTCAATAATCGCCTTTTGAATTGATCACTTTTGCAGTATACTCGAAATGGAGTACTCATAAAATTCAATCCGATCACGGGAAAGTTATTGGAGAGGATCGATTTGCCGTATCGTGTAAAGAAGGTGGATATGTTACCGATTGTTGATGCGCAAAATATTCATCCGTTGTTGATTATGGACAGGTCGGATAAGGTTAGCGTTGTGTTTCAGTTGGGTATTTATCCATTCGTTTGTGATCTTGTCGTTTGTGATTGTTACGTATAATTATAATTGTCTCTTGGTTTTTTTTTTGCTGAATTGGCAGCTAGTCATCGCAATTGTTTCCTTTTATTATGATTGATCCAGCATGAGCAATGTCTTGGCTTATTTTATGTATTTGTTTGGGATAATCTCGAAGTAAAGAAGGCTCTTTTTTGATTATGTGATCCCAATCTTTATTTTTTACGTTTACGTGTCGTATCGGAATGTTTTTGGTGTGAAATGACTTCCAGGAACTTGTATCTTAAATAATTTTTGTGAGGAGTAGATCCTGATCGTAGTATAATTTATTTGAAGTGATTACGAATGAGGTGTGAGTTGTACGGCGAGGTATCGTTATTCGATTCACCTTTTATCTGTTCAGGTAACAACGCATCCGAAGTTACAATCAACGAACACATCACGATATACACCTCCCGTACATTTGTTTACATTCGATCAGAAGGGTCACCTAGAAGGATATCAATTCGAGACGCAGCAAATGAGTTTGCAGCGAGTCTGGATGGCCGATCTCAAATTATCACCACAGCA